CTTGAAAAGAAAGAGCCTATACATACCCTTCAAGTACAATTCTGGATGCCCGGATCCAGTGTTGTGTATTATGAAGGAACGCATTCCCAGTCGTTCCAAGCTGAGGACCCTGAGAACTGGGGTGTGCTCCGAACTCCGGCCTCAAGTATGGAGAGGCAAGGCATTTGCAAGGCAGTGGTGGATATGCCAAACGGCGGATGGTAGGCTTGCCGCAGCTCCGGTATACGTGGGAAGTTTCTCGATCTGACCTATGCCGTCGTAGCACTATCATTGACAGCAGACTTGGCTGGACGTGTTGCAGAGGGAAGTTCATAAATGTTGGATTCGGAACAGACGACGAAGTTGCAACATGGGATAAGATGCCGTTGCCAGACACGAATGCTTTGAGGCGAAAGGTTGATGAACTGGAAGCTAGCGGGTATAGGACAAATTTCACCTTCGACTCATCTGAGGGATCAGGCAAGCAGTGCAGCTGATCAAGATAAGGAATACTTCATGCAGAAAGTTCCAATTGCAAGCCGTAAACCCGAGTGCTTTCCACTGCGTTACTACGTAGTATACCCATGCTGAGACCATGGAGGAAGATCGGCACCTTGCATATAGAGCTGGTTCACCGTGCCACTTGCTGAACCATCCATCGTATGCAGTGCGAAGCTTAAGCTTTGTCCGGTTGATCTGTTGTCCAAATAACGGCCATCAGGATAGTATGTACTTGTAGTCCTAGGATGTGATCCTGTATTCGTGGTTGCACTGATTTCACAGGACATGTCCATGGATCCATCCATAGTGTGCGTTCCGAAGCTCAACGCTTTGCTCATGGACAAGGTTGTACCCGGTGCCGGTAACATCTGTGCAGCGGCGGTCGATTCATCGATGGCCGTCGTAAGAGGACGCGAAGGCTTAGTAAGTCTATCGACATCCTGCGCAGCTTGCTGCTGGTCCTCTGAAAGAAATATGGTAGTCGGATCTATGAGCTCTAATCCTCTTGTGTCGATGGTGGCTCGGTGCGCGGAAAGTCTAGCGCCTGCAAGATGCAAGAATGGCTCATCGGTAATGCTGTTCACATTTTCTGTAGTCCGTCGCCGTGAGATATTGTCATCCATCTCGATACTCCCTGTTGCTTCGCCAGGCTCAGGTGCGTTTCCGGCATGGGTTGATTTAGGAGATGATCCGCTAACGTCGGTAACCGTGTAGCGCTGAGATAGTGTTCCCACGGATCCATGGGCATTTTCTGAATCTAGGGCTGGCCTCGTCTTTTTCCGCCACCGCGGGCTGCCCGTACCGCTTAGCCGACGTTTGCAAGCATTGAGCGCCTCTTGTGCCTTTGCAGATGCGTTTTCAGATTCCGTATCGCGCTGGCATTTCATCTTGAAGAGTTTCTCCTTGTACTCCGCCACGCCCCGCTGTTGTTTGAGCTTGGGGCATTCCATGTAATGCCTCTTTAGCGCGGCGACATTACGAGAAACTGTAGGACAGATGGCGCAAGGTACTTTGCATGGAACATCTGCGTAGAATTAGTTGAAAAGTTGCTAATGAGAAGGGAGTGCGCTGAATACGTGTCTCGTAATGTCGTACATATTGCTTCCACGTTTTATCGGCCTTACGTGTCTTGCATTCTTCGTCGGGGCAAATATATGTGCCGCTGTCTTCGCAACGACTTTCGTTGATACGAGAATTCTCAGACTCTCTGCCTACGTTTCCATCGCAGTTGTTGTCGTGTTTGTTAAAGTCATCTGTTTCGGTATCGATCTCGTCTGCATCGTCCTCGTTGCCATCATCGCTGTCGATTTCTGGATGCCGAACAAATTCCTCGAGTAAAGCTTCAATGCGGTTGAATCCTTGTGCCACATCTTTGAATGCATTGGAGAGCTCGACCTAACAATACTCAGCATTGGTTGGAACAATCAGAGAACAAGATTAGGACCATGAAAGGTTTGATGCGACCACTCCGAATTCGAGCCTTGGTCGGATTGGCTGGCATGTTGAAGGATAGTGCTCTGGCTCACTTGCGATCGTCGTGATTATACCCGCAGATGATGGTCCTGACATCCTGTTGCAGCAATTGCATTGGATAATGTAAGAAACTGAAAGTGGAGAGAAGCGGGACTGATGTTTGCCGCCACGTGCTTCAGGCTCGGAGCTGGTGCTGAATAATCTCGGCCCAACGGCACTTGTATTTATCCATTAGCTTCGCCTCCCCCGACTTCAAGAATTCTTGCCTACCGACATCCGGCATTACCGGCTACCATCCTCGAAACGCACACGCAGCATCAATACAGGTGAGCCGCAGTGCTGACTCCCGGATAAGACTCAGGTGACAGGTAGGCTCGGGCGATCTTTGTACAACTTCGAAAACTGACACCGTCACAGTGCCCAGCACTCTACCTTCCCACGACCTTCCCTATCGACGATCAAGAGAGATGTGCGCAGGCTGCAGAGTATGCGGCGGGAACCCTGGGGCCACTAAATGTGGTGAATGCGGATGTTCAAAATGAAAAACTGAACCGTTGCAGTCACGAAACTGTTTCTGTGTTCTTCTCTTGAGCGGATGAGTGGCTATACGTAGCTGATATACGTCGACTATTTCTGCTATTATTTATTGCTTCATTGACGAGCCAAGTCCGCGATTCGTCGACATTTCCGACTCCTCACAAGCGTACCTTGAAACAGCTCCAAGGTCGCACGTGTTATTATGGTAGCAACCTGATGGTATGGATCCAAAATCTTGAGAGTTCTTTCCTTGGCAATAGTTCGAATCCTGCGTATATTATCTGGTAGATAAGGGTTAACGCGCCGCGGAACCTTTCGTCTCAGAGCTTGCTCACCTTGGGATTGCGGTGGACGATGACGCCAGGTTTCACAGTAGGGAACAGAAACTGGGCAGTCATCGCCGCTATACAGTACAGTATAGTGTAGCTTGATTATGGATTGCAATACCTGATGGTCAGGGTGGGTGGCCGCCATGCTGGGTCTCGAGGCTAGGTCCTTTTTTCGTAGCATTAACGGGGAGTTTTGTTTTATGAAGCGCCCATGGTATAGTACATTCTGTGAATCTTGAGCCTCCGCGGAAACAGGCATGAGCAAGCTGTCCCAGAGGATGCCCAGTGCCTGAAGGGCGGGCGAAGCCCACCGTTGAGAGCTCCGAATAGAGGCCCGGCCTCTCCCAGAGCTTGGAAGATTTTGGATATGGGGCTGCACCCGGGATGAGGTGGCCCGTCCAATTCGTGGCATGCTAATAAGCTTGTTCTCGTGCGGTGTGCCAGGGCTGTGCGTCGTGCAAGCCTCGACACAACCGCCGAACATACATCGTCCAAGTTTCGACATGCAGATTACTGTGTCCAGTGCGCGCGGTTGTCATTCTTCTCGCTTCACTGGCCACGGCTGGTTGTGGGCTTCTTGCGGGCCGTTTGGCTCATCCCTCTTGTCCCCTGACTGACGTGCCGATATCAGTGACGTGGAGCCGTAAGGTGGATACGGCGGCGCGGACCCGTTTCGTCCGATGCCTGACATGCAGACCACCAAGGGGAAGGACATGCGCCAACCAATTCTTCAGCGTCGTGCTGGCAGCTACTATACAGTACAGTACTGTACATATTGTACATACAGTACAATACTGTACATGTTGGCCATGTTGGCTTCTCATCATTGTTAGGCAGCGGCAGCCAGAACTTGCCGTGCAGATCGTTGCGAAGCGCTTCGTCCAGTTCTTGCGTCGGGCGTGGCAGCTTCAGTACATGTCAGCTTCGCCACGTGGTTGCACGGCGACGGCCAGTTCCGCCGTGCAGATCTTTGCGGAGTGGGCGGTGGCCGCATCGCCCGCAAGGGCCATTCAGACCTGGACGAAGATCGCCGTGCAGGGTGCGAAGACGGACAAGGATGCTGGTTCGTCCAATTCCTTCATGTGGGCGGCGTCGTCCGGTTCCAGACATTTCGCTCGCTGATGTGATCTGTGCCGAGACGAAGTCGCAAGGGTTTCTACCGTCTAGGTGTCGACAATGGCAATGGCGGACATCGTACAAAGCTTGACAAGCAGATCACCGTAGCACACGCGGTCTTGGCACATTTCGGGTGCACGCTACGTCGGTTTTCAAGTCGGCTTCCTGACGTTGCCAGGTGTCATCTCCTGTTGCCGCGTTCGAGCTGCCGCGTCCCTCGCTTCCTGCCGTCCAGTCTCTGCTTTTCGTCGGCTGCTACAGGTCATGTCACTTTCTCGACGTCGTTGCGTGGAGGTGTGTCCATTTCTATACAGGACGCTATGGGACCAGCAGGACATGATTGAAAATAGGCAGACCTAGTGCGGCAAGCTGCTGCCGCGTCCGATGGTGACCACACAAGTCCGAGGAACACGCATGTGGAGCAGCGTCACAATGGTGGGCACTAAGCCGTTACAGTACTTTACGTTTCCATTACGGGATTTACTGTAGCCACGCCATCTTCTTGGCCTGTCAGTTTATCCAATAACAGTTATTGCCATGGCCGGACGAGGATATGAGGTCGTTCTGGTGTGCCCAGAAACTCGTCAAGACGAGTGGAGTAGTACACTCACTAGTTGATTACGCCCGGTGACCAGCTGGTCAAAAGAGCAACTATCTGCTTAATTACATGCTCGCTTCCAAATTTGACGAAGTCTCAAAATAGCCCATACCTTCTCCATCTCCATCTCTTTGTCTTTCCTGTTCGTCATGACGCCCTGTTCCCGTAGGTGATTTTATTAACAAGCAAGCTTGAAGGCGATTCTTCAAGTGTTCAGAGTCCTATCTACGGCGGCTGAAGCGGTGCCTGTTGTTGGATGCACGGGTGATGTGCGAGGGGTTAGTAGTGAATGGCTGGTCCGGCGAGGACCCATCAATGTCGCGTGTTCTCCAATCGCGCTGTTGCTAACGCATAACGGATTGTGGCGCGCACTGCTTCCATGTTTGGTACCCAGTTCTCATTGTCCGATCGTTGCTTGCCTCCCAGGAAGAACGAAATGTTCCCTCGCTGTGTCTCTGTGCATTGCATCATCTCCGTGCGAAATGCTGTCCATCTGGTGCATCGAATGAGAAATTGATCTACTGTTTCTCGGGCGTGTCCGCAAGCGCACTGTTGCGACGCTGCTGCTTTGATGCGGTACAGGTAGTCGTTGAGTCGCGCCATGCCTGTCCTGAGCTGTGCCAGCACGTTGGCCTCGTTCCATGTTAATTGATCATACAGTTGGCGGGTATGTTTTCCAGGTAGTGCTCCGTCTATTCTCGTGGTGTAATCCCCGAAGTTCCTTGGGATCTTGTTGTCCGCCCGCTGTTTTGCCCTTGCGATGCCCAGTGTCGTTGATCGTGCTCTAGGGAACTTGGCTGCGGGAGTCGCGTCCTCGCGCGTGGCCTCCCGTGCCTCGTCCTTGGCTAGTTTCAGGAGCCCATGCTCGCTGCTGACGGGCACCCACGTAACTGTCACTGCGTTTCCCTGGTCTCTCAAGACGCCGATGGTCTCGTGTATCGAGTCGACATACTGCTGGCCTGATTGCTGTCGTGGGTTTCGAAGGGTCAGGACGGCTGCCTTGTTGCTTGTCAAATACTTCCACGCTCCGATTTCTTATCTCCGGTAAACACCTGAGCGCCTGCGCAATGGCCGCTAACTCTCCGGAGAACGGGTTCTGTTCCGTCCTCAGGCCAAGGGTGAAGGAGTGGCGTTCAAGTCCCGCTCCTTGTCCACTTGTAGGAGACAGTTCGGTCACCGCACCAGACCCTACAAGACCATTACGGGCTGAGCTGCTCACTGCTACATCCATAACCCCGTCCGCGCCCGCTTCTGTGCCTGTCGCTGCGTCATCGTCGTCAGTGATCGTCCGGATCCGTTCGGCCCACGGAGCCAAAGAGAAAGGATTGATCGTCTCCAGTTCGTCGACCGGAATGTCGTTGAGTGCTGTCGCCAGCTCGTAGAAGGGAGACCGACAGAACCGCTTGAACTTTCGGATGCTCTTCGTCGCGTTACGCAGTGGATTTGTCGTAGGCAGAGTATGCATGTCGGTCCACATCTTGACGGCTCGTCTCCAAAAACGCTCCTGGGCGCTTGGGATGTGTGCTTCTGCTTCAGCTATACTGGTGGCAACGGTCATGAACGTCCCGACGATTGCCTGCGCCCTAGCCCTCTGCACTCGATTGATCGGGCCGGCCCGGTTGTATCGGCACGCATGCATCCATACATTGGAGGCATAATCTACAATTGGCGCGACCATAGCCGTGAACAGCTGTCTCGCCGTGGCTGGTGTGAGGCCACGAAGCTGCTGGAGCTCCATGGCCGACTCCAAGCCCTTGGCGGATGCTCGCGCCATATGCTCCTTGTACTTCAGGCTGGAATCCATGATCATCCCTAACGCTTTGACGTGTCTTTTTGGATCGACGATCTGACCTTTGATGACGAATGCGTGAGTATCGAACTTGAAAGCCTTGCGAGTAAAGTGGATGATGGACGTCTTCTCGGCCTCGAACGTTGCTCCGCTACGTCGCTCCCAGTCCAGCGCTCGATTTATGATGGCCTCAATTCCGACGCGATTGCTCTGCGCAGTCGGGCCAGTGACCCAGGCTGTATAATCGTCCACGAACGCCAAAGAGCCTCCGTGGCAGTCGATTTGCTGCTGCACGAGATCAGCGTTGAAGAAGAGAAAGAGAATCGGCGACAGCGGAGAGCCCTGCGGCAGGCCTGCTTGTGGAAGGATCCGCGCATCTGTTGACTGCCCGTTAACCTGTAACGTGGCCGTGCGATTGGAGCAGAATGCCTCCACCCATCGCAGCAAACCCTCCGGGAGGCCTCTCGCCCTCATGCGCTGGATGAGTCTGGCCTTGCACACTCCGTTATACGCTCCTTTTACGTCGAAGCTAACCAAGCTCAAGATGCGCCGGCCGCGCCAGGCGGCGTAGATCTGTTCTTGTAGCAACATCAATGCTTGTTCGGCGGACCGTTGTTTACGTGCCCCGAAGTGGTTTGTCGGCAGCAGACCGTATGTCTCGACCGCATGGGAGATCCTCTCCGCAACCACCGACTCCAAGACTTTGCCTAGTGTCGACAGCAGCGAGATCGGCCTCCACGCCTTCGCTACTGCATAGTCGGGCTTGTCTGGCTTTTTGAGCGGGATGATCTTGGCGTGCCTCCACTGCGCGGGCAGGGGCCCTTGTTCAAGCGATGCACGGAACAGCGCAACCACCTGGTGCTTGACACTAGGCCAGAGCTGCTTCCAGACCACGACCGGCAGTCCGTCGTCGCCGGGGGCATTCCATGATTTCGCTGCGAAGAGCTGCCGCTCAATCTCAGCCGGGGTGATGTCTGGCATGGGCACTGCTGCCCCGCGCTGTGGCCTATCGCCTTCCTCTTTAATGATCTCCGGTAGCGGAGGGAAGAAGGTGGTGAGCAGTATCTCGGCTTGCTCCTTCACGTTCGTAGTCCTGGAACCATCGCTCCGGTGAAGGTGTGGGACCTTACCAAACGCTGAGGCATCTCCCGACTTGAGGTATTTCGCCGCTTGCCATATATTGTCATTGTCCGCTAGGAATTCGTTCCAGTGTTTCTTCTTCTGTTGTCGGATGGCGTCATGATATTGCTTCGCAGCTCCTCGAGCCGTACGCTCGAGATGCTCCGAGATCTGTCCTCCGCGTCTCGACGCCCTCGCGCGGTTCCTCCAATACGTGTGTATTTGTCGCAGCTGTGTCAAATCTTGTGTCCACCAACGCTTCGCATAGGGGCATGGTTTCGCCTTGGGTGTGAGGGCATTCATCGCCTCCAACACTACCGACATGAGCCTGTCCGTCTGTTGTTGAACAGTGCCTTCGATCGGGTCCGTTCCCAGGGCCGCGGCTACTCGCTTATTGATATCGTTCCAGGGCGCGTTCTTGAGTAGCAGCCGCTCGGGCATCTTTCGCTCCGGGACTGATGTGTCAAATACCGTGTCGATGACTTCGTGGTCCGATCCGTGGTTCGAGGCCAGGGTCTTGCAGGAGCTGACCGAGCCCGCCAAGTCTCCGACACCAGTATCAGATCAATTGTCGACTCGTGCACACCCCTGTGCCACGTCTTCGTGCCCCGTTGCAGCAGGCTACTGAGTGCAAACTCGTTCATCAGCGCAATGATCCGATCTGCCTCCCCGTATCGCTCTGGCACCACATCTTCTCCTCCCCACAGCTGGTCATGGCGGTTGAAGTCGCCCGCAATCACCACATCTACGACTCTACCTGCATTCCGCCTGGTGTCGGTGATAACCCGCCGCAGTGTATCACACGACTCCCGAAGCGCCTGTTCTTCACTCCCCTGTACATAGACAGAGAACATCAAGACCAGACGATCCGGCAGCCGCAACAGCGCCGCAGTCATGTCCGGAGACTCGACCGGCAACTGCTCCGCATCCAGGTCGTTTCTGACCCACAACATGCTTCGAATCGCCCATCTCCCCTCAGCGTACGTGGGGGGCACCATCTTCGTCCACTTGCTGTGCCCCATTGGAGTCGTCAGTAGGCAACCCTTGACTATCCTTGCTTGCGGCTCCTGAATAGCCAGCACCGCTGCATTCTCAATTTCACTGTCGTTCATCAGACTATCCTGAATCGGGCCTTGCTTTGCCACATTGTGCTGGATCACTCGAAGCGTGTTACTCATTTGGAGATGGATAAAGCTTCCTGCAGTTTCGGCTGAATGACTCGTGGGGTCCACCACACAACACGCACTTGTAGATTGTCTCACTGCAAGCGCCGTGGTGATGTCCCTCTTCTGCACACTTGCCGCAAGTTTGGCTCCTGTTGCACTGGAAAGCTTTGTGGCCGATCTGCTGGCAGTTCTAGCACTGGTCGGGACGAGGGCGACGTTCGAAGACTCCGGTAAACCCCGACTCTCCTCCGGCGTAAAAGAAGCCCTCCGAAAGAAGCCTCTGGGCGTCTGACCCCTTGGATAGATACACCTTTCCAAACGCCTCGGCAGCTCCCGGCCGGATGTCGCCCGAGTCGTCCAAGACGGCTGTTCGGTTGACATGGTCGACTTTGACAGGATAGAGCTCGTCTCTGAGCACTCTCGCGCCCGGTGGCAGCTTGGCTTCCACAATTCGCTTCACCATGTTCTGCTCTGCTTCGTCTCGGCAAGCAATCTTGACGCGGTTGGGCTTCTTGGAATCCTTGATGACGGCGCGGCAGCGCCAGTTGGACTGGCCTTGCTCGGCCCTGATCTCCTCCTCGGCCATGCTGCGAATGGCCCCAGCCGTAACCTGGTCGTTTTCGCCATTTCCAACCCGCGAGGTATCGATGGTGCAGTAGAATGTGTCGGTGAAATTGGACGGCGTTGTGTTGCCTGTTGAGAGGGTCCTGATGTTGCTTGGTTGCGAGGACGGAGGGGAGCGCGCAACGTCCACGTACGATGGCTGTGGGGACTCCGCGACGCGTGTCGTGATGGCTTCAAGTTGCTCGACTGCTTGCTTCAATTGGTCTTTTGCATCACGCAACTCCTCTCTTGCATCGAGAACTTCGCGCTTCGTGTCTTCCCCTTGCTGCTGAAGCTCTTCAATCAGTTTTTGCTGTTTTTTAATGGTTTCAAACTGTTCAGTGATGATTTGTCTCATGTCTTTCATTTCGGTGCGTGACGCGTCCAGCAGCTCCAGAACGCGCTGGAGCATCGCTTTTCCATCGCTGCCGCTGGCCACTGCTTTCTTCGCGATTGTCGCCTGTTCGGTCTCATCGTCGTTCAAGGCTGTCCGTGTCGCTTGTCGCGTCATGCGCTTCACCGCCAAGTCCTTCTCTTCAAACTGCCTCGCCGCATCGCGAGTGTTGGTCGTGGGCCGCCCCACGCGTCGTTTTGGCGTCGCGGGGTAGCCCCCACCCACCGACGCGTCCACTTCAGCATCCACCATGATGGATCACCACCCTACACTCGACAGAATCTCAAATAACGAAGAATAAAAACTGCTCTCCCTAGTCTGTGCCGTACAGTACACTCGCGAAGGATACACTGGGGTCCGAATCAAGTGTCCACGTTTTTGTGTCTAGCTTTGTCTGAATTGGGATCCACAATGGGCCGTTCGGCACCACATCGGCCGGATTTGGGCGAGGGTACCATAATTTACACACACTGAATTGGGATACTTGAACCGGACCCCAGTGTGTAGGACAACCGCAGCTCATGAGAGAGTGATCTGCGTGTCGAGCAATGGACGATTACTGTATGTCTTGAGAAGACAGGGCACGCGAGCAACCTCCAAATCCGAGCTCAATGTCATCAACCGGACCAGGCTGTCTAGGCATCGCACGTGGCGATATCCTGTCGCGCCATCAGGGTTGAGCCCATATCCAAGATCTTGTAAGAAATGAGCATCTGGGTCTGCCTAGATGTCCACTTTACTCATGTCCATACAGAAGTAGGCGCGCGCTTTCACAAGCCAAAAAAAGCCCCGGCCTCGATGCCCTCGGTGTGGAATGGAAAGTCACTACCCGACAGCTGTGTATGGGCCATATTCTGCTTCTTGTTGGTTGACGACCATGAAGCCTGCCTCCTTTTCTCCTCTCTCATCCGAACTCCTTCTGGTTTGCGCACGAACCGGACATCAGGCAATCTTTCGTCGTGAGTTACAGTACAGCTCTACTGTAAGCATAGCCGTAGCATACAGTAAGTCACAGCCTTGCTTTTTACAGTATGTGCAAGGTATATTTTGGGGCAGTTACGTCTTCTCCTGGCCCTTGCCACATCATTTCTCGAAGACAACTCGCAGCATGGTGAATCTTTGGCTTGTTGCGCTCATGAGCGCTCTATATTTCAACGCAGCTCACTGCAGCCTTGTGAGTGATGCAGGCTGTGAAACGGAATGCGTCGCACCTTGGGATGAGTGGTATAATCCGAACCGGACAGCTGGCACCAATGCGACATCACGGTGCGCAGAAAATTCATCATATCGCAAGGCTGTTGCAGCTTGCTTTGCGTGCATGGACGAGAAGAACGGATGGCGATACTTTACAAAATGGAGTAATCTGCGCCAATGGGAACTTACGGCTTTAGGGATGTGCAACTAGCCAGCTTCAAGCAGCAAGCTGGCGAGGANCGTGACGCGTCCAGCAGCTCCAGAACGCGCTGGAGCATCGCTTTTCCATCGCTGCCGCTGGCCACTGCTTTCTTCGCGATTGTCGCCTGTTCGGTCTCATCGTCGTTCAAGGCTGTCCGTGTCGCTTGTCGCGTCATGCGCTTCACCGCCAAGTCCTTCTCTTCAAACTGCCTCGCCGCATCGCGAGTGTTGGTCGTGGGCCGCCCCACGCGTCGTTTTGGCGTCGCGGGGTAGCCCCCACCCACCGACGCGTCCACTTCAGCATCCACCATGATGGATCACCACCCTACACTCGACAGAATCTCAAATAACGAAGAATAAAAACTGCTCTCCCTAGTCTGTGCCGTACAGTACACTCGCGAAGGATACACTGGGGTCCGAATCAAGTGTCCACGTTTTTGTGTCTAGCTTTGTCTGAATTGGGATCCACAATGGGCCGTTCGGCACCACATCGGCCGGATTTGGGCGAGGGTACCATAATTTACACACACTGAATTGGGATACTTGAACCGGACCCCAGTGTGTAGGACAACCGCAGCTCATGAGAGAGTGATCTGCGTGTCGAGCAATGGACGATTACTGTATGTCTTGAGAAGACAGGGCACGCGAGCAACCTCCAAATCCGAGCTCAATGTCATCAACCGGACCAGGCTGTCTAGGCATCGCACGTGGCGATATCCTGTCGCGCCATCAGGGTTGAGCCCATATCCAAGATCTTGTAAGAAATGAGCATCTGGGTCTGCCTAGATGTCCACTTTACTCATGTCCATACAGAAGTAGGCGCGCGCTTCCACAAGCCAAAAAAAGCCCCGGCCTCATGATACCCTCGGTGTGGAATGGAAAGTCACTACCCAACAGCTGTGTATGGGCCATATTCTGCTTCTTGTTGGTCGACGACCATGAAGCCTGTCTTCTTCTCTCCTCTCTCATCCGATCTCATTCTGGTTTGGTTCGTCGTGAGTACTGTACAGTAAATTACAGCCTTGCTTTCTACAGTATGTGAAAGGTATATTTTGGGGCAGTTACGTCTTTTACTGCCCCTTGCCGCATCATTTCTCGAAGACAACTCGCAGCATGGTGAATCTTTGGCTTGTTGCGCTCATGAGCGCTCTACATTTCAACGCAGCTCACTGCAGTCTTGTGAGTGATGCAGGCTGTGAAACGGAATGCGTCGCACCTTGGGATGAGTGGTATAATCCGAACCGGACGGCTGGCACCAATGCGACATCACGGTGCGCAGAAAATTCATCATATCGCAAGGCTGTTGCAGCTTGCTTTGCGTGCATGGACGAGAAGAACGGATGGCGATACTTTACAAAATGGAGTAATCTGCGCCAATGGGAACTTACGGCTTTAGGGATGTGCAACTAGCCAGCTTCAAGCAGCAAGCTGGCGAGGAGGTGGATGGTGGGGTTCAAATCGCGTCAGCAATCCTGTCTCTCTATCGGCGCTAGCTCTTAACGAGAAAGGCATAATATGCATGCAGAAAATTGAGGATGGGACTGCACGGTACTACTGTATGCGCAAGGTTGCCAGGTATATTGTGACAAGGGCCCGAGTGTCACAGGTTGTGGCGCTCTTTGTCCGGATGTATATTACAGGATTCTTAGAGCTACTTTAGCATCGCCTAGTGTATATACTGCAGCAATGGGCAAATCTCCATACCAGTGGCATACTTAGTACTTGACCGTGATGCAAACCAGAATTCTAGGTCGCCAGCTTACTGTGCTAGTTTATCTTGACAACAGAAGACACGATGTTGTTTAGGACTGTCCTTCTGATTGCTTTCACCACACACGTCGACAGTTCAGTTACTCGCGCCCGTAGACAAAAAGGAGCTATCACAGTTACACCGCATGAGCAGTATTCTTCCTCCATCGGCGCACTGGGATGCAAGCTGAACACCAACCGCGTGGCCTACTGGCCGGAGCCGATTACCTGTGATAACATCTGTGTCAAAGTCAGCAACGCTGGGCGCAGCGTCCACCTGCTGCGTGTGGATCAGTCAGGAGGTGCTCATGACGTATCGTATGACGCATGGAACTATCTTGTCTTTGGTACTGGTGCGGCTCAAGATCCTCATGCAGGCGGTGGTATTACCATGGCGTATGAGCAGGTCCATCCTGACGAGTGTGAAACATTGCTTCATGATGGTAGGCTGGCATTGTCTGCCGCAAACAGCATGAATTATCTCGTGTCTTGCCTCGGGAGCAATAATTGGGTTGCGGAGAACCACAAGCTCGTCAATATAGTGGACCCTGGCTGTCGATACGGCTGGGACGAGCTATGCACACTGGATCCGGGCAAGGGCAACCAGCCCGCATGTCCACATGTTCTCGGCGATCCGCATATGCCTACGGGACTGAACGTGACAAATATACGCTACGGAACAGGCGAGCTCTACGATATTCAGTGAAGTAGACGCAAGAACGTCTCTGCAGCGCTACCCTCAAGCATCCATGCGTGGACATCAAGCGCATTCTCTGTAGCTCGTCAATGGCAGCGCATGCATCAAAGATGGTCATACGGACGGGTTGCCAGGGCTATTCCGAGCAATCCCAGTACTCCAATACAATAGCAGCGAGTGATTATAGGTAGACAGAAGCAGAGGAGCGCCAAGAAAGGCCTGGCAAGTCAGAGACGCAGAATAGATACGAAGACTACAGTGCGGGAGCAACGTGCCGGAGCAGAGAGGGATATCGCCCTGTGGAGGAATAACCTGGTTCGGAGACTGGGTATTTCTTCGCAGGATTAAGGTGTCACTGGAAGCAGAAGGTCGGGGCACTTGTATTCATAGCGGTGCGCTGCACAGCTGCTCATATTGGCGGCTGGGTCAGTCTATGAACTAATCAATCAATTTATGCTTATTTATTTATTTGTTTGACAGTTTGTTTGAAGTGATTTGATTTGAGTGCAGCGCTGCGTCTCTAAGCGTTCGGGCTCCCCTTATTTCGGGGGGTGGTTCGGCCACTCATGGTTGCTCTTGTCGGGAGAAAGGTGCGTCTATGCCTTCCAATTTCGATAGGCCCTGTCGCTACAGTATTATGTCTTTTGAGGAGAAGGGGAGATGGGAGTGATTGTTTGACATTGTAACTCAATAAGATCAGTTTGGGCCAGCATGGCCACCTCGTGCCCTGCCCGGTGACGAGACACCATGTACTGGTTATTCCAATGTCGCCGCTGTCTGGGCTTTGCCAGACTTGTTGCACAGGAGTCGAAGGCTGCTTTCCTCGCGCTTGTTGAGTGACGCACTTCACCGCCAGCTCCTTCTCTTTAAATTGCTAGAGAAGACGTCGCATCGAGGGTCAGCGTGAGGCCCTCGCCCGAGAAATAGAGAGCCTCAAGGAAGGTAGAAAGATATTTCAGACCTGACAGGCACAGTGACTTCGGCAGGCTACACGCTACATATGTGCAACACTTTCCATCAAAAAGACAGCAGACCGAGTCCTACGCACGTGCCTGGATCTGGTGGATCTGCTCAGCTGGATTCGCTCAGCGCAAGGGCGACGAAGCCGCCACTTCTGCCGGAGGGCTGGCCTTTGAATGCGCATTATCGTTAGATTATGTGCTTTGCAATGACTTCCGGCCTGCAAGAGTTGCGCATAAGGTCACAGAAGCAAATGAGCGATGAATGTACGCGACGCGATTGTGGGATTCCTAGAGTGTCTGTACAACAAGATTCAACTTTCGATTGTAAGGGCAGCGGCCGCTGCTGAGATTCGCATGCAAAGGGAGTCAATCTTGCGCAAAGCTTCCCCGTCTTCCACTCTGTGCAGTTCTGCCTTCCACATTTCGTGTACAGTGTGCAGCTGATATAC